TAAAACAATTAAATATTTAAATGTTTGACTAAGGGTCGAAGCCTAATTAGGTTAGTTAATTTTATTCATTATGTGATAATCAAAACAATAAGATGAAAATTTTTTTTTTTCTAAGAAGTGGAATGGATTTGAAAAGGATTGGCTTGTGGTACATGTGAAAAGGGCAGAGGCCCAATACCAAAATAATTAAAGGAAAGTCCCCCACTCACCCTTGCTACACTAACTCCCCTTTTCCCAATTTACCCTCCAATGTTTCTTTCTTACTTAAATCTATTAGTGATGGGTTTTTAGTCATTTTGCAAACAAAATACTTTGTCCGTTGTTCAAAGAGATTGTTTTCTCTGTTCTGCCCTCTGTGCTTTGTGTCTCCATTCCTGCCTTGGAACATGGCTTTTGGGTCTTTTTGCTTCTTTTTGCAGTGGTTTGGCTTATCAATTTCCTTGTAAAATTCATGTTCTAAGTTCTACTCTTTTCCTACTCTCCTCCAAGTCCTTTTTCTACCCTTTTTTCCACGAAAAATCCAACAGATGGTAAGATATTGAGCCTGCACCAACATGAATCATGGTATTGGTTAAAAATTAATTAACTTCTAGCATTGGAAGGGAGGTAGACATCGTAGAAGCAAATCAAGATTAAATAATTAAGCAAGAATCACATTTCCTATCTTTCAAAAATGAGATTTATGAAGCAAAAACATTGCAAAAAGGGATGAAACATTTATTTATGAAATATGAGAGAACAGAGTAGTCAAAAATAAATGAACATAAAAAGACTTACAAGTATGGTAATGGAATTGAGAGAAATCCCAAACCATTACACCTCTTTCTGGGCAGATTCTCTTCAAATTTGGTAAGTATAGCAAAGACAATTCCTTTAATTTTGGAAGACTGAAACAGTTGGATTTACTGTTGTATTATCTTCACGAAAGGGGAATGGAAGGTGAAGCCGTAAACTGATTTGAAGACCTCTTGCTGCTCACATAAAAAATTCACAAATGAATTGGCTACAGAAAATTTTCAGCAGTTGTTTGATGACTTCCTTCCTCTTCTCCCCATGTATTAATGAAACATCTATGTCCTTATGTGCAAGAGTTTATATACTTTTATCCTCAATTCTCAGTTTCTTTAAGTTTGGGTTGTTAAGCGGAAAACATAAGACTGGTTTGTAGGTTGCATGGTAATTTTAGGCGACTTTACCAGATTTGACATGAGAGCTTTGAGCAAGTGGCTGCTAAAAGACAACAAAAAAATATAAAATGGAAGACTTTAGTTAGTGAAATTCATTAAAAGTCCTCTAACTTTGTCTAGAGATATACATGTTTCAAAGTTATATTGAACTCATTTCACATTTAAACTTTCTGGTACCAGACGGAGGAAAAAAGGGGAAAGAGGGAGGTTCTGCAACCCATAATCAGCAGCAGAGTTAGGAAGGTTTTCTGAGGAGCTTTTGCAAAGCTATTAAGGTAAGTTTTAGTAAATTTTTAACTTATATTCAAGAACTGGAAGTTTAAATAGCAATTACAAGGCGATTTGAGTCTCAGACAGCAAGTAAAAGTTAAAATGCAGATTTTTAGACATGCAATGTTATTTATGTGCATAAAACATAGGAACTTACCTCTGCTAATTGTATGTCACTGTATGCAAGTCATGGAACTCGATTCTGCAAGCAGAGATAATAAACAGTTTGTTAGTTGAACAGTTAATTTATCTTTCTTTTTTTTTGGTCGGCAGTTAATCTATCTTGCTAACGTAGAGTGTGAGAATTGAACTAGAATGAAATGCATGTGCATACATGTGAAGGAATGCATCATTAATCATGCTGCATTGGAATCTACGGTAAAATACCTAAGCTTCATGCTAGGTAAGAACTCCTAAAAGACCCGGAATAAATGAAAGAAAGAGTTCCAGATCCTCTGCGCAATAGGAAGAACCTTGGCTAGTCCATCGGTATGCTGGGAACTACACTCACAAGAAGAAATCCATAGATAGAACTTGCATTCATGTGAATGCTTTAAACAAGCATAAAGCTATCTTTCTGTTTGTCTTGTGAACTATAAGCGCCGTTCTCATGATGGGGTTGAACCCTTGTTTGGACTGTTCAGTGTTAGTGAACAGAATTTGATGGAATGGGTTCTGCTCAAGAGGTGGCAGATAAGTTTTCTAGTTATCCCCATAGCTTGGTTTGGTTCAGCTTTTAAGTTTTGAAAGTTAAATAATTTGCTAGACTTACTGAGCCTTGCAGCTCATGGAATTCTTATTTCCCTGCTGGTAGAAATCAGCAAGAGGCAGCATATTTATTTTGGGAGCCTAGGAAGCATTTACCAGTCCAAGTGCAAGCCTAAAGCCAACCTTGGTAATGTTGGGGAATTATTGTTAGAAATTTGACATTCAAACCAGCAAAATGATGAAATGAATCTGCCATGAAATGGCAGCAATGAGACTGAAAATTGACAGCAAATGAAGCTGCAAGTTGACAGCAAATATGGCAGCAATTTAGCTGCAAATATGATGGAAATGAAGCTGTAAGATGACAGCAAAAATGTGCAGCAAGCTAAGCTGCAAATGTTGATAAAATGAAGCTGCAATGAGCAACAAATGCATCTGAATGAAGGCCTGCAGAGCTGCAAAATGACAGCAAGCATGCAGCAAAAGTAGTTGTCTTTTACTTGTTTTAGATGTACTTTTATTGTTGCTTTTTAATGTAGAAAAATTGCTTAGATAAAATAAGAAACTTTTTGAATTGTTTTTAGATTGTTTTCTGCTATGTAAAGCAGAGTTTGTTAATGAGAAATCTGAGTTAGAGCGTTATACTCCTCTCCATTTCAGTTTATGTTCTGCTTTTTATCTTCTTCCAGATTTCCATTCCTTCGTTAAAAAAAAAAAAAAATCAACAGGTAAAACAAATTCGAACTCTGCACAAAACCTAGACATGGCTCACTAATTTTGTACTAAAAACTATGTACTTTGTATATGAAAATACCAAGAACTGCTGTAAGAAAACCATCTGTTTTGTTCTGTGAAGTTTGTGACAATTATAACAACATGTAAGTGATGTAAACTGGACTCACATCTTTTGTTTACCAGAATCTAAACTGTTCAGGCTAAATGTGTTTTCTACTTTATATGAGTTTAAGTTCAAATGCTCAGATCTATATCTTCTCAAAATAAATGTCATTTTGGCTTGCAATTCAATTGATGTTTCTTTCAACCAACTAGCTGATATAACAATTTTCTAAGCTCCAGATCTATGTACTGTAATTTAAGAATTTCATTTCCAGCAGCTTCTTAATGTTGAAAGGCTTTGAATAAGAACTTTAGACTTTAATTTAGTTGATTTACCTGTACTGGGATGCATCAATTATTTCTTGGACATAGCCCTGAGAGAGGAAAATCACTCTGGGACCTTGAAAGCAGTGACCTAGAAACAACCTTTGCACCTCTACTGACGGCCCAAAAGAAATTTTCCTAAATTTTGGAAGAGTAGATGCAGCAGTTGTTTGATCTCCATCCTCTTCTTTGCCTGCAATCATTTCCTCAATATCACAG